CTGTTTGCACAGGGGGCCCCAGGGCTCCCCTCCTCATTTGCAGTACAGCTCACAACTCTTGAAAGCTTTCCTCACACCAGCCTGTGACTGTGTCCTAGTTTGTTTGGCTTGAAATTCAGCTATCCTTGATACATTCCCTATGGGAAGTAATTAAACAACTGGGACTAGATTTCACTGTGCATCAGTGGCACAACTGAAGCAGCAGATGAAGTAAGTGGAAGGGCATGCTCGAGGCACCGGAGGAGCTCATGGACTCAAGCACTGCTCCAGCATCCTACACCAAACCTGCACGGAAGGTCAACGTCTGGAAACCGCTGGTGACAACAGGGGTTTTGAGAGCAACCAAGGATCTTGAGAGCTCTGGGTGGTTGACAGGCATCCCTGAACAACAGGGATCTAGATTGTGTGGCTCACTCAGTGGAAGTTAAGAACTGCTCAAAGCTTAAACTTAATACTCTTTTTTTTTAGAAGCTACTCTAAAGGCAATGCACATCGGTCAGAGAAAACAGGTCACAAGTATTCTCCCAAATGAAACTAAAATGAATACCAGTATTAGAACAAGGAAAACAAAACTGACTTTACATGAAGATTACAGACCCTTATTTTAACTTCACCTTTCCCTCTCCCCCCCAGTAATTTAACAATTTGGAGCACAAATCAGCCTTTTTTTTCAGGCTAACAACTCTTTGCTGAACAGACATTTTGGAGGGTTCAACTACTTTGTTTAACCCACCATCTTGCATCCTCCACCTTCCAAAATCATTTATCAGCTAACCAAGAGAAAGAAATGAAAGACACACTCAGGGTATGCATCATCCAGCCCCTCTTTCCTGGAAAGCATAAGCTAACAGACTAGCAAGCAAACTACACACAGCTCAGGCATAAGCATATGAATACTGTTACACCTGCCATTGGACAAATACCCTGTTCTCATTCATTACATGTTAACACATTTTCATTAACATTACAAAGGGAAGCTTCTACCACTACTCCTCTAAGTTACTTTGCACTCCAAACACTACTTCAGGTTTTCAGAGTAATTTCTGCTTATGAACTGGCAGAAGTATGTCAACACACTGTACTTTAAAATGCACCAATCCTCCCAGTAGCGTTACTAAGAACTATTTTTACTTCCAGAAAATAAGATACTGCTAAGTACTTACTTAATCTTCTCATATTTTCAGTCAACCTGAAAAGTAAAGGATAAAAACAACCTGTTAAATAGGCAAGTACATTTGGTCCCTGAAATACTGCTCACAGTTATAAATTAGATGCTTGGGCACAAAGCTTCATTCTTGACTCTTATGAAATGTATTTCTAGTAACTAACACAGCCTATCTTGCATCAGACCAAAAATTGAAACGTGAAAGCTCTCCAGCCCTACTAAGACTTTATCCACAGTTTTTGAGAGGCATATGACAGAACCAGATAAATAATATAACTCTTATTCCACCTCAGACAGCAGACAAACTTCAAATTTCACATTTTGGTCACAGCACTCACAAACTTTTGGTGACAGTTCTGTACTTTCAGTTCTATTACTTGTTGTGCAGACACTTGCTCAAATCATGTAAAAGGTTGAGAAAAAAGAAACAGAGAAACAGAGAAAAAAAACAAAAGGAGGGGGCAAAAAAGGGTGGGGGAAGCAAAAAGGGGGGGAAAAAGCAACTTGTAAAGAAGCAAACGATTCTGCACCATCACATTAGGGTTTTACCTTCTAGCACTAAGTGGCTCTTCTGTTTCCACTGTGTTCTCCTCCGGCTGAAATCTGAAGTCCTCAACATACTCCCCAAATTTGTCACAAAACCACTTCTGGATTCTCGAACAGACTGTGTGACTACGCTTATCTATTAAAAAACACAGAAACACTGATTGTCAGGATAATAGTAGAAGATATCTTCAGCCAAACTTGCACCTGTTCCTGCACACTGTGTTTTGTAGGGGAGCAGCCTTTGTACAGCTTTCCTGTCTTCATGAAAGCCCACAATGCAGTTCACTTCCACCACTGCACAGAAACCCTGACTGCACTGAGCTGGTAAAATAAGACTAAAGATGGCTCCTGCTTTGCACTAAATGCAGCACATGGAACCATCTTATTACAGAATTATAGAGATTACTTAAACATCTTAACAAATGAGAATTTTAGCAAACACCACAAAAACATTTTCTGCTTAAGAGGTTCCTGTGAACAAAAGACTGATGCAAATCTCAGCGCTCCCATTGTGCAGAAGGGTCACCTCGAGAAAAGCAAGTGTAAAGCAAAACACCCCTGAGCAGAGAGCAGGAAAACCACCTAGCAGTCACACAAATTTGACAGGAAAGGGACATGGAAACTTATGCAAGATTTCACAGGAGTCATTTTTACTGCCACTTTCCAACCATTTATAGGCGTGCGTGTGTGTGCATATATAAATACCTAACATGCACTTTCTTTTTTCTAAAGCTGGGCTACTGAAATTATGTTGTATATGCCACTTTCTATACATGGAATATATGGTCATAATACTGCCTGAGAAGTCTTATACGGCAAAGCAGTGAAGCAATGCACACCTTCTGTATGCCAGTTTCAGTGGAAAAATATAACAAATATATTGGTGTCTGGAAATTATATAAGGGTAAAAGCCTTAAGGCAGCGCAGGTGAGAACAAAACCATAACCTTTTGATTTATGTGTACCTCAGAAAATCAGTGTCTAGAAAGAGCAGACTGACTGCTCTTTGGAGAGGAAGGTCCATACAGCAATGTCATAAAGAGGACACTTGTCACAGCTATACCAGGACCTAACTTTGAACAGAACTCCATCAAATTAAGATATGATTAAACAGAGGCATGAAAGATTAATCAGCCAACTACAACAGCCAAAACAATGCTTTTAAGCACATGAGAAGAAGCAACTGGTGCTGAGAAAATAGAATCAAGTTATTTATTAATGAATGGCAGTGATATTTAGAAAAACAAGGAATTTAGTGACAGTTTACAGCTGAGACACTTCCATTTGAAAATAAAAAACCTATGAAGTAGCTTCCCACATGAAGTACTTCAGATAGTACTGAGAAAGAAATTTTGAGCATAGAAGAAAAAAATGTTAGGCTGTAGTTCACATAACAGAAAATATTGACATTATGGGAGTACAAAAGGAGCAACTTCAAATTTAATCTGCGGATTTAAAAGCCTAAGTAGTTGTCTCAATCAAGGGGGGTGGAGAGGAAAGCTTAAGTGTACTAAAAGACTGAGAAACTGCGTGTTGCCTTAGTTATTGCAGAAATAACTATATTATTGAATTCATAATACGCAGCAGCTTGAGAAACATAAATAACAGAGGAAGCGTCCAAAAAAAATGAGCAACTCTTCAGCTTATTCCTTCTCCAGAATGTCTTTACTTTTTTAAAAAAGGAAGAAGTAATACGGTTAATGGCATAAAAGAGCTTTTGAAGTTGAAAAGAAAAGAGAACACCTTTTCCATGTATTACACCTGTTTTCTGCTAAGTCCAGGATCAGCAAGGCACACAAGAATGATGAAGTCAAGCAACAGGTTTCATTACATTCCTAAAGGCTTTATAATACAAAATAAATTCCTTGCTCAAGTGTGCAAAGTCAACGACAGAAAGTAAATGCAGAATCATGCACAGAGAAGTAAGAAGCTGCTCAAATGATCTTTCATATTCGGCTTCTTCAGAAGCCTGCTTAAGGGCTCAGCAAGTTTTTCAGCAAGGTTTGACCTTCTAAGGATCCACAGAAAGCAGTGAAAGAAACCCGACTGAATCAAACTGCAAGCAGAGATCTGACCAAGATCACCTGTTCCGTTGGCTTGCACCTGTGGCTTTGCAGGTTGCTGAGCTGCAGGCACCTCTTCCGCCCTACAAAGAAAACAGAAATCATGTGAAATGCTACAGATGAGGACATTTTTCCCCTTTAGCAAACCTCCACAGTTTCCATTGCTGATATAATACAACCATGATGGGAAAAAAACAAACTTACGCCCCTTCGCAAGATACTCATTGCACTTCAGATCCAGTGAAATACCACTCACTGCAAGGAGAGGTGTGGTTTAGCCACTTCCTGCACCGACAGCTCAATTTCATCTTACAAATACTAAATAATTTAGCATCAAATTTGTGGCACTACTTGTTCTTTTGTGTCATATATTCATTTCAATGCCTGCCAGAAAAACTCTTCAGAGGCCCAACTTCTCCCACAGTAAGAATTGAAAAGGGATTTTGTATCACAAGTCAATAAGCACAGTACTAGAACAAATCCACAGTTTAACACATGAACCTTGAATTCTGCTATCATTACTGGAGACAAACATCACTCATCTTCACAATGAGAGGGACAGGTGCCGAGAATTATTTAAAATGTCATGCTGTAAGCTCTTGAAATGCACAAATATATATTTTTAAAAAACTGCACTGAAATAATGCTCTGAAAAACAGACAAAAATGTTCTAAAAATATATGGCAAGTAGCAGGCATCATTGGTCTCATCCTTCAAAATGAGTCAAGAATAATATTCTCATCCATTAAAAGTGAACAGATTTTGGAAAACACAAATGCTTTTGCCATTCTGGACATGTGCAAGGCTTCAAATTACATTTGCGCTATCCACAGCCTCCAACTGCCAACCTGTCTTGAGAATACTTCAGGCTTCAGTCCAAAAGTCTTCAGCCATCCATGTAGATATCCTACAGAAAGACTTCGCTAATGAGGCAGCAGTTTGACAACACGACACCAGCTGCAGCAAGCTTTACTTGTCAGGGAGTTGTATGATTGAAAAGATTACAGCTTGAAACAAAACCGTGCAATTTCATTATCGCTCATTTACCAGACAATACAGGTGGCTTGCAGATGTTCCCTTCACCTTTTGTTCCTCAGGAAGGGAACCAAGTGGGATGCCAGCCACCGAAATGAGAGCAAGAACAGAGATCCCACTGTACTGGGCAAACTGCAGCAATACAGACAGATACACAGTTCTCTCTCCTGCTGTTCCTCTAGAAAGTACATCTGGGAAAGGTCTCGCTATGTTGTCTGCACACAGAAAAGGCCATTACTAATGTGTGCTGCCTCAACATCAGCATACATCAACGAGGATGATGGAGAAACTACAGAACTAATCAGTTTCGTTCCTTCCTAAGCACTCCCCACATTTAACAAGCTTTCCGAATCCTTGTCCATTTTTAAAAGAAATATTTAGAAATAATTTACTGGTTTATAAATTATAACTGGACATCTATTAGCATGCAGTAGCTGAATTCAATGGTTTCTGCTTTCAAAGCCACTTGTTTTCGTGCCTCTTCAGGACTTTTCCACAAAGTTTCTGTATTTGCAGCAATTCTTCTTTTCAAAAGCCACCTGAAATGCCACCAGTTTATTTTTTCTAGCTACACTTTAGCTTTGTTTTCTGGGCCATTTTTCTCTAGTTTCTATATAAACCATAGGTTCCTTGCCTAAAAACTCCCCCTCTCCTTGCTCTTTTCCCCACACCCTTTCATCTCCTCCAGCTCTGTCTCTCTAAAGACAGACAGCAATTAACCTGATCAAATTTGCACACACTATTATACAGCAGTGTTTTGTTTTCTTCTATCAGCACATCAGATGGTCACACCACAGAGGTGGGCATTTCCATCCGCAATCTGTCACTGTCGCCATGTTTCCATGAAGCTGAGGACACTCGGGCAGCGAGGAGGCAGTCATTCACAAACAGGTTCATGCAGGCAGGAGCCAGTTACCCAACCTGCTCCAGTCGGCTGAAGGCACTGGGGGTGTCACACCCGAGCAGCTCCAGTGACAGACCCGAGGTGGAATCCCACCACTGCCAGCTGGCAACACTGTCAGCCTGGGTCTTCCTTTAACAGGCTGGGATGTATTTTCAGAAGCAGCACAGCATTATTACTCTCCATGTTTCTTGGAGGAAAAAAACAAACCTTAAAATCTCATCAAAAAGCAGCTCTGGCTAGCAGCCTCACTGGGCTCCATCAGAAGCACACGATGGTTTGGCTTTGGCCCTTCTTGGTGCTTTTTTGCTTCTTTTTTTTGGCAATGTTTTAATTGCCATCTGCCTGTTACTCCTTCCCCATGAAGAACGTGACCTTTACGAATCATCAGGTTAATGACAGCTCATTACTGCACCTGTGAATCAGGTTATAATTAGCCACTTCAGACAGATTTGGGCCAGGAAGCTCAGAATTCATTGTTTAGGCTTGCACACCCACTGGGAAGTTCAATCCCACAACCAGGTCATGTTGAACCAGCCAGTACATCAAAACCAGCGACAGAGGGAAGGAATTATCTTTCCTGCAGTTTCTCTTCATGCCAGAGATAAGTTAAAAGGCTGGAAAACATAAACGGTCCCCAGAACAATGCAGAAGGCTGGCCTTCTATGCGGGCTTTCTAACTGCAGCCTGCACCAAAGAAAACAAGCTATGTGAATACCACACTTTCCACCCAGAAAAAGGGTGTGATTTGCAACACTAACAGATCTCCAACCTGAGGCTAGGTTGTGTTTATGCAACTAGAGATTGCACCCCCTTAAAAGCACAGGCTGATTAAAACAGATAAAAGCAACTACAGCCAATGGAGAAGATAAACGCAAGTGTGCCAATTTTTTTTTCTATTTTTTTCAATATATACTGAAGTCAGGGAAGCACGACTGCTAGAGCTGTTCATGACTAGTAGAACTGTAGCCTTCAGAAAAGACCAGCACACGCTGATGCAGCGTCCACTCACTGCTGCTCCACAGAACAGGACCAAAGGATTATTTTTGTAGCTGCAAGTATGAAACAAAATTGTTTTTTGTTCAAAAGATCCTCACTACAAAAGAACATCGAGATGCCAGAGCATGTCCAGAGAAGGGCAATGAAGCTGGTGAAGGGTTTAGAGCACAAGTCCTGTGAGGAGCATCTGAGGGACCTGGGGTTGTTCAGTCTGGAGAAAAGGAGACTGAGGGGAGACCTGATCGTCCTCTACAACTACCTGAAAGGAGGTTGTAGTGGGGTGGGTGTTGGTCTCCTCTCCCTGGTAGCTAGTGATAGGACAAGGGAAAATGGCCTCAAGTTGCACCAGGGGAGGGTTAGGTTGCATACTAGGAGGAATTTCTTTACTGAAAGGGTTGTCAAGCACTGGAACAGGCTCCCCAGGGAGGTGGTTGAGTCACCATCCTTGGAGGTGTTTAAAAGATGAGCAGATGACGTCCTTAAGGACACAGTCTAGTGACAGGCTTAGTAGGGCTGGATCGATGGTTGGACTCAATGATCTTGAAGATCTTTTCCAACTGAAACCATTCTATGTTTCTATGAAAAGTTAAGGGAGCTTTGACACAGGATCATTTATCTTAACTCAGCATCTCTGGCCTTGAACACAGTTGTGAGTTGAGGTGTGTGTAAAAAAAACTCTCCCCAACAATTGTGTGAAGGCCGGACTCGCTGCACACAACAGGTCCAGTCGCTGGGATGTTCTCAGACACATTAAAAGTCATTTTCCTACCAGATGACTCTGAGTACTGAGCTCACAAGCAAACTATCATTCTTGTGACAGCTGTTGTGGAAGCCAGTCAAGGCTGTTACGTCTTTTTTTCTTACTGCTCAAAGCAACATGAATGTGTATGCACTTCCATCAAAGGCACCTTTCAACCTCAGAAATGCAAAAATAAGCATAAATGAGGTATTCTCACAGCCTAGTTTAAAGACTAATCATTCGAGTATACATGGCTTCTTAGTCTGAGAAGCTGCCACAAAACTGAGTTAAAACATTTTCCTGTTTTGCATCTCTTTCCTATTAAAATACACCAAATATTTCAGAAGCCTTCGTCCTCCTCACCAGAGAGTCATACATTTTACATGGCTAGTGTCCTACGCTGGTAGTTTCAGAAACAAAAGAAAAGGTTTCAGAAGAAATATCATTAACTCAAAGTTGTACAAGATCTAAATGTTCACGGACAGAAAAAAAAAAAGTTAAAAATAAACTCCTGACAGGAGCTACTTTACAAGCAGCAGCCTGTCACCAAATCCACTAAGTTAAAAATAAAGGCACGCACACAGTTCAGCCAACAGGGTATGTCAGCAATTATGTACGTATGTGCGTCAGCAATCCCAGCACTGCACAGCAGCCAGGCAAGAAGCTTCTAACCCAGGCACCAGGTTCTTGCTACCTGCATGGAGTCCCAGCCTGATGGGATCCTTCCAGGAGGGAATGCCTGCAGCCTCCAGAGCAACCTCAAGCTGAAGCACGTTCTCAATGGACAAGGTCAGCCATACCCAAAACATCACATGTGTGGAAGATGACAGCATTTAACAAGAGACCAGGAAGAGTTAACCAAGATAAGTGGCACAGAAGGAATAGCGGTTTACACAGAATCATTGTCCATTTGCTCCTCTTAAAAACAGTTTACAATAATACTAATAAAAATGTTTGCAGAAGTCGCAGCTTGCTAGTAGGTGGTGGTGCAAAACCTTTTTTTGTTGTTAATTCTTTTTTTTTCTGTATGATAGAGCTAGCTCACAATTTGTAAAATAAGGCAGCAACAGCCCACGATTTACACTAAACAAGCATTGCTCACTCAGACAAATTCCAAATTGTTTATGCATTGTTCCACCAGCAAAATGTCACACGCTTCAGCTGTCGCACCAAATGCAGGGATGTCCCAAAGTGCATCTATGGGAAGCTTCAGCTGAGGCCACCATGTTTCGGAACACTCAGACATACAGACAGTGAACACCACTTTACAGGTTCACGGATAACAGGTCTGCAGATACTGAAGTGAAAAGGCAGCAGCGAGTGTACCTTCTGATACCCCTAAATACAGTGTTTGTGGGTGCTTATGAGGAGTGACTGAGGAAACTGGGCTTTCCTGGAGAAAAGGAGGC